ACTGCGATTTCAGTTCGGAACCTAATTTCGTATGGACTCTTGTCACTTCCTTCTCCTTGGCAAACAATTACCTTTTCAAAAATAAACCACTCTACGACAACGATCCAATTTCCGAGTATGAGCCTAACTGGAATAGTTACAGGTGGATATATAATTTTATCAATTCTTTTTCGATTTCTTTAGGATTTTTTATATTTCCACATTGATTATCACTATTTTTCAGTTTTAGAAATAGAGCCAAGGATTTTTGCCTTTTTGTGATGTTATTTGACAATCAAAATCGGCAACTCGTCCATTAAATATTAACAGCAGAATATTTTGCAAGAAAATCTGCGCAGAAAAATCTGTTTTGCAGAAATTCAGGGCTTGGCTCCGAGCCTTTTTTTAAGTGCCAGATTTTACCCAGTGATCAAACGTTTTGAGGGTTGGGGGGCTGTAACCCTTTCACCTTTTGCTGAAGTATGATATTAAGGCTGTGACATCCTTACTAATGGTTAAAACATTATCATAAATGTTTTCCATTTTGTCTAGATCTATATTCTACGTTAAGTACAAAACCTTTCATCGGATAATATAACGGACAATGAACTTTGGCAAAAACATTTGCGGAAACATTTTTGGCCTTTCGGACAAATAAACTTTTGGCCAATATTGACCAGTCATTTGGATTTCTAAGATAAAACTATTTCAGGTTTTGCAAATAAACAAATAACTGTGACAGGTTAAGAATGCTATTGAACTTTTTGGAAACTTGTAAGAGATTCTCTGTACTGAAAATTTGATAATTGTCAAGAAACTTCCAGTAACAAACTGTCAGTGACAGCGTTTTTTGAAAGCCAGCGAGAACGATGTTATTGTTTGTTTAAACTAAAATTTCTATTAGCATTTCTTTTAGCTTTCATAACCAATTGTTTTCAAAATTTTGTAACAATACAGATACAGATATCATTTGATATTCGTTACTTCAATCAGTAAATATTATGCATGCTCAGTTTGATCAAAAATATTTCCTGTGACAAAAATTATCAGACAAATTTTTTGCACTTAATGCATACATAAAACAATGTGACTTACAACAGCCAAGGTTTTGAAAATGGATTTGGTAATGAAATATTAGCAATTGCCAAAAAATAACGTGACAGTCATTAAATAAATTTGTAGTTCTCAAGACTTTTACAAGGTTTGTCCAAGACCTATATTCAAAGATATATTGACAGATGATATAATTTACAGTTGAATGAGCATAGATTGATTGAATTACAGTAAACGAAATTTATTTAAATTTCACCATAACCTAAAAGAACACTAGAAGAGACTAACTATGCTAACACATTCAAAAATTTCGGAATATAACAACCATGCACTAAGTGATAACTAATTATATTTCAATTTGCCAGTTTAAAGAATTAGTCCATTTTCATAGGATTTATTGGGTGTACAGCAACATTTAGCATATGAAATTACATAAATATTCACAGGCCACGCATATAAAATCAAACTTCCACAATGCCACTCCCACACTTATCTGCTTGCAAAGTTTGATTACCTTAGTAAAAGGTATCATTATGTGATGAAATCTATTTAGCTTAAATTTACATCTGGTTAGAAACCCCCCTTTGTGAAACTAATTTGGGAGCTAAGTTCTAATTGAAGAATCAGTAAGAAACGAAATAGCTACGAGTAGGAAAGAGATGAGGGGAAGGAAGGAACTAGATCATTCTGTTTAGGCCGCAAAACTCACTAGGTCCTTCTGTTAGGTCGCTGAACTCACTAGTTCGTTCTTTAACACACAAAAATTGGAAATTGCATAAGTAAATATACAAATATTGTTGAAAAACACAAAATCTTACCCAAATACAAAAAACGCTTGCTCTGGTCGGAATGTCGGAGTGAAAAGAAAGACAAATCATCAATTGCGACCTACGACGTGCCCGCTAGTAACCTCGTACCGGATCTACACTAGGGCAATAACAAGAATGTACTAAGGTACATTTTAATTCAGGGTACAGTATAATTCATGACAACGGTAACAAGGCTAAGAAAACTGATGGAGACGAGGCTGAGTATAGATTGATGGAAAAAGAGAGACTGTACTATGTATTCTTCTAGAATTTCATGTTTGTAACACTATGCAAAAATCTGATGAAATGTCTAACCTGTTTTTCAGACTTGGGTTCTCCGTTATGGAATATGTATCATCAGTCTCGACGCATTGGAGGGCTACATGCAGTTACCCTTTATATGGTGTTGATTATCGAGATTACGTGAGGGCAAAGCTAAGTGAAATAAACCCCCTTACTTTTAACAACAATGGTGAGTGCAGGACTGTTGAATTAGTCAATATTCGAGGATACAGTGCAACTGGCCAGCTCGTTAAGTTTTGGCAAAGATGGGACCTATTTTTTTGCACTGATTCTAGCTATGATTCTTGTTTCGTTCTTGCCAGGCCGGGGTCCATCCCCAGTGAAGATAACTTTGGACATTATGGAACCGTAAATAAAGACTTTCGATGCACAGAAAATTCTGCTAGCACGACACAGTATTGGATTGGTGCCTCTACCCAGTCTTTAGGTCCCTGAAAGAGCCTGGATAGAGACATGCAAACAATTCCTGAACCACGACATTAAAATGACTTGGCTACCAAGGCTCTACTTGAATGCATCGATTGTCGATTCCTTTTTTTGAAATTGCTATGCTATGCTATGCTATGCTATGCTATGCTATGCTATGCTATGCTATGCTATGCTATGCTATGCTATGCTATGCTATGCTATGCTATGCTGTGCTATGCTATGCTATGCTATGCTATGCTATGCTATGCTATGCTATGCTATGCTATGCTATGCTATGCTATTGTGCCTCTCTTTAGTCCTAATTTAGTTGTATACGCACTATATTGGAGTTGCAGCTTAGGCAGCCTTTCCACTAGCCTGGGTTAAAACATAACCGGGTTGAAATGTATTCAGGGTTAAATATTCGAAAACGTACGCAGATTTGTAAGGGAAATTAGTATTTGCATCAATTATACTTCAATGTCCATCGTTGTAGGCCAATGGAAACAACATAGACATCAAAAATTTTGTTGATTATTTTTTGCACCATCTCAATTCTGAAACGTTGCTGTTGTTTCAAGTGGGTCAGAAGTTATCCGGGTTTCGGCGTTTCCATTAACTCGTAGATGGTTTATAAAGGTACCCGGTTTAAAACGGACCAACCCTGAGACCCGTTTTCAAACTTATCCGTTTTCAAGTGGGTTAGTGTGAACGCAACGCAGAAACGGATAACTTTTAACCCGTTTTTGTTTTAACCTGGCCTAGTGGAAAGGCTACCTTAGAACTGCCCCATTCAAAGCATGCACTGCATTTAACAGCCGAGAAGAAAAACAGTGTGTGAATGAAGAAAAGGTCACTGTAGCAAGAAAAACAGTGATTTTAATATTTCGTGTCGCAATGTGTTGACAGTTGAAAGATAATTAACTAGACAGGATGCAAAATTAATTTCTACCCTTTTCCCAGGCAATAAACTAAAAGAACCTTTCCAAGGTAACTTTTGGAGAGAGGAGCAAGGGAAAGTTGTCCAACGAGTGAGACAACCCTCCGTCTTGTAGTCAATGAGCATGCGTACGGAACTAAATTATTATAACGCATGTTCTCTGCCTCCAAGACGGAGGGTGTCTTTACTCATTTGAAAATTTTTGCTCGCTTATCTTCCCAACAAGTAAACGGTGAAAATATTTAAGGTGTCCTTTTGTGTTGGTGAAGTTACAAGTGGTCCAACTAAGTGGAAAGCACTTAGCAAAGGGCATTATTTGCTTATATACGAGGTGCCATAAAATCTTAGAGACTGATGACAGAACAGTTATTGGCCTGAAATTTTTCTTACAGGAAACGTCCTATGCTTTAAAAATCTATACTTAGAGAACTTGTTATACTGGCAAAAAATTCGCTAAAAATACTTGCATTTGCTTTGTTATAGGAAATTATCTTGTCATTTTCAAGTAAAGTTACACCAGTAGAAGTTTAATTTTACCAGAAAAGAGAGGTTTCACTGTTTCCAGAATTTTTGATTATCTTTGAGACATTTGAAAAAGCGACATTCTTATCAAACTTCCTCTTCTCTGTTTTTTTGAAAGACTTCTGTTTTTATTTTGTCAGTTCTGTATTTGTTATATCTATTGCGGAGATGAGCAACACCAGAAATGATATTCCTGACTCTTCATTCAGATATTCAAAAAACTAACTAAAGCCCTTAAATGCCAAGCTTGCAGCTGCAGATAACGTAAGATATCTTATCCAAAAATAATGTTTTTAAATTAAGTTGTATGTTTCTAATTGTATTCATTTTATTGCAATTTTTATGTATTTTGTTTAAAATGTTTGCTTTAATTAGCTTTTAAGCTATAAATTTTAACTGCACATTTTAAATCATGGAAATGATAAAAGATGTTAAATAATCGTCACTGTTCGGAACTCCACGACGAACTTGCTAAATGTGACGCAGGAATATTTACAATTCTAGAGTTGGACAGCAATTTCTAGAATTCGTGCTGGTAAATTTTTACGGTGTAGAACTCTAGAAGTCGTTGTCATACAGAGAGGACACATGACACATGACTTTGAGTAAATAATAAGACTTAATCTCCTGTTTTATTTCAGTTCTAATGTCGTTTTGTTATGTTTTTATTCGGTGCCAGAACATTTTTGAATCTGTGTCAAATTTTCACCAAGCTACAAATATGTCATTTTTCAATACGAAAAAACGCCTTACAATGTGGTATCAGATCTTTGCGTTTCTTTGGTGATAAATTTTTTGAACAATATTCTAGTATCTGATCTGAACTGAACTGAACTGAACTGAACTGAACTGAACTGAACTGAACTGAACTGAACTGAACTGAACTGAACTGAACTGAACTGAACTGAACTGAACTGAACTGAACTGAACTGATCTGAACTGAACTGAACTGAACTGAACTGAACTGAACTGAACTGAACTGAACTGAACTGAACTGAACTGAACTGAACTGAACTGAACTGAACTGAACTGAACTGAACTGAACTGAACTGCAGTTGAATCCCGCTATCTTGAACTCGGTTATCTCTAAAAACTCTCTACCTCGAACAGTTTTCCATTTCACCTCGTTTTCCTATAGGGCTTGGTATAGAAATACAACCCATTATCTCGAACTCACTTATCTCGAACTATTCGCTATCTCGAACGAAGTTTTTTACCCTTGAAAGAGAAATACCCGGTCACCTCGAACAAAAAGGGACACAAATTTTCAGCCTTTAATAATCTTAAGTTGTCCGACAATGATTAACTTGCAATGGACTTATACTCGTTTGCCATCTCAAAATTTTACACGTTTGCCACTCACAACTTTTGCTTCATGCTTCTAAAAAGTTTACGAGTACACCAGCCTAATCCGTAGGCCACATGGAGAAAAAGGTTCGGACAGTAAAGCCACGAACTTATAATAGAACCACGAGATAAAGACGGGTCTGGTAAATAGACAAAAAGCATGAGCTCATTTGGTTTTCTTTCAGCCAAAAATCTTATTGGCTTTAAGAAATGTATAAAAATTGTTGCAAAAAGCTACTGCACAAGTATGAAACTATATGAAGCTGTCAAATTTGAACGTTTAACTCCTAAAACTGTTTTCGTTATTAAAACTGTTTAGTACTTTCGAAAACATTTGCTTTCAATACTTTATCTGTATTAGCAAATTACTTGAATCCAAAAATTTAACTTTCGATAACCAAGAATACCTGCAAAATGGTTTACTAAAATAGCTACGTTACCCTCGGTGCCCGAGTCACAACATTTCGAGCGCCTAAACAGAAAGCCAAGCGGAGAAGCGGAGGACCTTCTACCGGTTTCTGAAACTGTCTACGGAGTTAGCAGCAACCCTGTTGTTAGATGAAATTCGGAACAGCGTCGATCAAGGCAAACTGGTAGGCGCAACGTTTATAGATCTCAGCAAAACCTTTGATACCGTTAGCCACTCAAACCTATTCCAAAAACTCCCTCAGTATGGCATCAATGAGGGTGATGTTTCTTGGTTCACAGATTATCTATTCCACCGTTCAGAAGCTGTAACTTATTGCAAATCCTCATCAATGACAGCGGACATTTAAACAGGAGTACCTCAATGCGCTATCTTTGGTCCATTGCTATTTATTCCATTCTTCAATGATATCACTAATGTAATTGAGGATGGCAGTAAAGTTGAATATGCTGATGATACAGTGGTCTACGTTGCTGATAAAAATTTGAAGTTCATCAAAACCAAGCTAACAAAATATATGGAGTCCATCGCTGATTGTTATAGGTAGTATAATAGATAGGTTTTATAAGGGTTTTTTTATAGCTTTTTATCTTTAATTTCTTTTTGTTACAAAAAACATATTAGTAACAACATTTTTATGTTGAAATGTGCATTCTGTATAAAGATTCCTTATAATAATAAAAACCAAAAACATAAAATTATGACGTATGAAGCCTTCGAATGGTATAATTTTTTAATTGATATCACCTGAAGACCTATTCCAATAGTGGCCAATGTAAATAAATTGATATAGTAATTGACTTATTAAGTGCTTATTAAACTTTTAAGCTGTTATGATGGGTGCTTATTCGAACTGGGCTGTTTTACAATTCCCAGGCGCCTATAAATATATCTAAGAATATCAGTCGTTTTACTTTTCTTGTCTTCATAAAGAAATATCATAACAGAATATCGGGCTTTTGGAATTAAGCAACCTGAATTAAACAAATCAAACTATGCTAGCGAATCGCAGATTGGAGAACAAGCGTTCAATAGCATAAGCTGACTGAAATTTCACGATATTCAAAATATCGTTGCCAGGGCCGTAGTGTGAGGTAAACTCTTTTAGAAAGTTTGGAAAGGGGGCCACAAAAGCTCAATTTTTGTTTTAAATCTCAATGAAGAATCAAAGAAAGTTTGTTTGAAGCCCCAAATATCCCAGCCATGGTAGCCATGCTCGTGTCTCTAGCACAAACTTTCATGATACATTATGCCTACGGTAGCAAGAAAATGACGTAGTGTTTTAAAAAGGCCTTCACTTGAATATAGCAAGAATTATGTATTATATTTTAGAGTGCCCTTCATTTAATCGGTCAGTCACCGAAAGGTAGGCAAAGACTTATATGCAAATGTAGATGCAGATCGAAAGCGATCGGAAAAAAATGTCGAAGCGGACTACACTGTTAAAGATTGTCATAGAAAAACTGTAGGAGTAAGTTGAATTACAAAAAACAATTGATAATAGATTTATTTCAAACTGTTTCAAAAGACTTTTTTCGATTCCAAGTTTGATTTTTGGGTATGACCAGTATGTTCGTGGAAATACAGGCTTATGAAGGGAGCATAAAGACTAAAGAGACACAATCTTGTGTCATCAAACGTTTTACCAAACATCTATTTAAACTGATATTGGATCCTTTTCATGTTGTTAGCCGAGGGACTTAAAGAACAAATATTTCACCCAACATTTCGCCAAACAATGACCGAGATGTTACGTCGCGTGCACAAAGGAACAAAGTGAAAAATACGGGCACAAGCAAAAGACGGCGGACAACAGCTAAAATGAGAGCAGAAATTTTAAATTTAAAGCTATTGCAGTATTGGTTCTGGTCACGTTATTGTAGAAAGAGAAACAAATATTTAAACAAATGCAAAACAAAAATAACAGTGTCATCATTTTATGATTTGTGCGTGCACATCATTAAGACGATGTCAATATTGGTTGAACATCAAGACGAGGTCAATATTGGTTGAACATCAAGACGAGATCAATGTTGAGTGGTCCAACAGACCAAACATTTCGTACAAAAATGAAAAGCAAAATTTCTTTTTCACCCCCATTCAACTTCATCTAACATCGCCCAACAAATGTTAAGCGACCAAACAAGTTGGCCAAACATGCCAAACAGTTCATTAAACAATTGTTCTATAAATGTAAAGTCAAATGTTTGGTTTGTTTGACAGGGGAATTGTAGTGACCATTATTAAACCGTAATCATGTCCTCCTCTGTACCTCTGTCTTTAACACCAAACATTGTCTTTTATCCACAGTAACGTACATTAAGTGCAAAAATGATCAGCGTGACAAACTTTTAGGGAAAGATTTGCCCAAATATTTTTTTCAATTAAATTTACATCGGTCATAAAGTTTTTAATGCTGAAAGGTTTTCCATGAACTTTGTAACGTAAATAAAATGTTGATTAATGTAAATTAAATTACTTCTCAATCTGCATTCACATTGCAAAATAAAACCAAAAGAAATTCACGGTCTTTTTAACATAAGTATGCCTGGAAAAAACATTAAAAACAGTTATTCCTCCTAGTCAATAGAAAAATTACTCCAAACAAAATAAATACAACTAATCATTTATCAAAAAGTCACCGTCACGGACTTTTAATAACACAAAAACTAGTTTAAAATGGCGGGAATTTTTTATGCTAGAGGATTGAACTTAAGTCTGATGACCCTTTTGAAGATTCAAATGTGAAAGCAAAGAAAAGAACATAATCCTTGAAGCAAGTAACAAAAATATGAACTTTAACAAGAGATTGCTAATTTTACTTTCCTCTTCCCTGTATTTTTGAAATTTTTATCTTGGAAGGGGACTTCGCTCGATGGTTTTGAGAAGCTGGTAATACACGTATATTTTGTAAGAAATTGAGAATTTCAGCCAGTTGGGTACTGAAAGTTTCTTAAAATGATCACATTTTCAGTACTCAGAGTTTCCAAAAAGATCAATAAGGGTTTTAAAGGAATGTTTGCATCAAAATATCTGAAATGGTTTTGCTTTAAACATCCAAAACACTAGTCAACATTTGCCTGAAAATGTCCGAAATTATTTTCACCGAAGTTTATTGTTTTGAATTTTATATGCTGAAATTCTTGTCCTTAATGTAATCAACAACAATTTTCTTGCGACTCCTTGTTCATGTGTATAAGCCTTGTAATGTAATCAGTTAAATTCATGAAGAGGCAATGATCACGCGACAACGTTCCTCACTGTCTCCTTGTAAATACGCTCCACTAACCCCTCCCTCTACAAATCCACTAGCAAAAACAATCAATTAAAAAATATATTGCTAAGCAATCACACAGCCCATATTTTATGGGGTCATATTTCGGCGATTCTGGCCTACAGGGTACTGAAAGGATAGAAACATTGTGGAAAGATCTTAGATAAAGTCTAATAGATAAAATCTTCGAGCCACAGATACACCAATTCAACTTACGGCCCCATTTTGAAAATTTCTTCACATGCCTTTGTCACAAATCTTTGACCTCAGATTAAGAGCAAGGACTTTAGTCTTCTTTGAAGTTTTCATTATGTCATTGCTCACGATATTGATTTTATGATAACATAAACATTCCAATTTTATAAGGAATTTGACCGTGATTTGCGGCTAAGGGGGTAAAGTTTCACCCGGAATGATTTTGAAGTGTGGATTAATTTTCAAAATGAGGCCACTAAGTTGAATTGTTGTATTGCAATAAAAAACTAGCTGTAGCGACTTTCAAACTTTCTTTATCGCTTAATTGCCTCGAATAGCTGGATAGCTTTTCAAGCATTTCCTGAGATAATAAGAGGCTAGAAGCAAAGACATTTTGCCGAAATATCGCTTTCAAAGCACCAACCTGCTTGATTTCTGGTTTTATTGACGTTATATCGTGGGGGTACCTTTAAACCTAACTGCAAACAAGGAAATCTCTTTGCAATATGAATGTCTATTCTTTAAATTGCAGGTAAAAACAGTGCTTGCAGCTTAAAATATTCAGTGCATTACATTTCAATCAGTCTAACGGTAACAAGACGTAATGTTGTCGCGAGGTTGAAAGCAAGCTTTCTCAACTATTACTTCGAACTTTGAACCAAAGGTAAGAATTGCATAAGTTGCTGTTAACGCCTTTAAACTATAAAAGAGATATGAACGACTGGAAGTTTAAAAATGGGAATAAAAGTACGCAATGATTTGAAGAAATTTTCATCTATCTTGAATTTTACGTAACGGACAAACGAGTTTTGCTAAATTAGACAAACATTGCATATTGTATCGACTTTTTAAAGGGTCCATTTTATAAAGTAAGTCTATAAACTATGAAGTATCCTAGTGTCTATAAACTATTCTTTCAATTTGACGGTGCTAGTGTCATTTGACGTTTTGAAGAGATTCAACTGCAGAGCTAATCAAAGCTGAAACATACTTCTTAGTCAATGCAAGGTTTTAACGTTGCTCCTTCTATGAGGCTCGAAAGAAGAACATGTCTTATCAATGCTGCCTGCATGTTCCCTTCCCTTAGGTAACATAGTTCATCAGTTGAAAGAATTTATTTCTCTTGGAAATACTTTTGGGCGTTTAATTCTAATGCGTCATCTCAGTGGAAAACAATGGCAAGAAGCTATCTTCTCTCTGTTTTTAGCTAGTGATAAAAACAGCTGTCTCTTTCAAATTGCAGAAAATAGACTTTCGAAGAAATGCCCTAATAGGTATTATGTTCCTCTTTATCAAAATATTCTTACATTTAAATCTAGCTAGTGGATTGATCTAATACGAACCAATTTTTTAGCAAATTTCAAAATCTCCTAGTCCCAGACTGGCTCACTAAATCATGCATTGTAGAAGAAAATTCTATGAAACCTTATCAACGGCAAGTACCCTATGTGGGTCAGACCACACCTTATCTGACAACGAGCTCGATTTAACATTCAAAACACCTGAGTACCTATCCCACCTAAGTGAATACATACAGTACTTTCTAGCTGTGGTTCATTTTGGGCAGTTTTAGCCCTGTGGTATGCGAAATTTGACTTGAGGCAATTAGCTATGATGCGTTTCTTCTGCGACCAACTTCACAAGAGATTTGATTATATGGAACAATACAACAAAGGGGTGCCATATTGCTCACGAGGTTGCAAAGGAGTACGGCGATCAGTGTCTCTATGCTCGACCTGCAGCGACAAATTAAGTAAAATACCAGTCACACCCTGCTGCACTATTCTCCCATTAGGCAATCAGTATGAAAACTAACACCAGCAATTCTCAAGATGTAATCGTTGTCAACAAATTTTGATAATTCTCTTACGGTACCCTACATCGCAAGGTTTTAAGCAGCTCAATGCGGCACATAGATGTTACCCAGTATGTTTTTTGAGGAAGCGGGAGTCATCATTTTTTTGAGTCAGGAATCATGATTTGGCAAATTTTTGTTAACGGGAATCGATAACACCTTGATTCGGGAATTGATGGTCGGGGATAGGGAATTGTAGTAAAAAGGTAGCGTGAATTCGGTAATAAAGGACCTTTTGGACACACTCACATAACGAAATCAAACAATTGCAATCCTTTTTTCTAGAATACGCAAAGAGGGTCACTTTTTCTAGATTACTCAATAATGTGGCGTTGGAGATTGGGAACAGTATTTTGAATCGCTATATTAGACCGATTGAATCGCTATATTAGTCTGTTGTTTCTTGACACACATTTCTACGTTAAATCTTTGAAATGTCTTGTGAAATCTTGGTATCCTCTGCCTCAATCACATAAGAACATGCTGCAATACTCCCCCTGTAGTTTCATTAAAATATGCACCCTTTTATTAAAATATTTATAGTCTGAAATGAACCAAGATACTTTTTGAATAAGAACTTGATTCAGCATAGGTTAGGTAGGGTATGTTTTCGTATACGGGATTTCGAAGTACATGCCAGTACATTTTCTCTGTAGGGGATCCATGCAGAATATCTCAAGAGATCATTAGTAGCTTTTTGTCGATATCACTTCCATAGGAATCGTCCCAGAATTAAACAAGTTGAATTTGAAATTAAAATAAGTTCTGCAATGATGTAGGTGATAACATTGAAAAATAGTCTATAGTTTGTTTTCTATCTTTTAGATATTTTTGGCAGCAAGACCCTTACAATGAACAATCTGCTCAGGTAAGAATGTTTCCTTTTAATTTTTGTAGTTTAAATTGTCACTTTGATTTATTATTGTTCTCTTTCATCTAGTTCCAAAATAAAAATTATTTGAAAATACTGTTAAGATGCAAAGATGGCTAGAAATCTCATCGAAAAATAGTTGAAGATTAAAGAATACATTCATGTGACATTAAAAATCAGTTTTGTGTTTCTTTACGTACCGCGGGCAAGACCGCGGGCAAAATGCTCAGCCAAGTTCCCGTAGGTTCGACAGGTACATCGGCCGAAAATATTGGAAAAGTGAATTTTTCTATACATACCCAGGGAGTCGATTCGAGTTTCGATCTTATTCTCTGCGATGAAAGAAGTCGTAGTTGATTTCAAAATTTATCTTTTTGGATAATTGAGGCTGATGCATTTTTCTACTTATGGGACATATTCATTTATCAAAGCTCATATATGTGATTTGTATCCAGCATTAGTCCCTGTTCTAAAATCACAGCCTTAAAAAATGCATCACATAGTCATGGCATCAAATGCTCTCAGAAAGTAAAGAAAAAATTAATTCCTTTTTCCCAGCCAACTCGCACATATCCGTTTTTCTCAGCGGCTAGTTCTTCTCATATCGTCAGCGAAGCGTCAACACAGTTTTCACAGATAAGACAAATGCATGGGCGTAAATTGTGGGAGGATGAGCTTAACCTGACCATTACTAGCGCAGAACCTAAAGCTGAATAATAGTCTAATTATTGTAGATACTGACTATAGTCGCAGCGTTTTGTGTACAAAGCAAGCGTCTTAGACCGATGCAAGTCATCCGCAAAACCTATGATACCTGAGTATAAATCATGACAAAATTTAAAATCTATTGCCTAGCCTTTTTTGCTAATCAAAGGATGCCTTCTGTTCTAAAATATCAGCTGAGTAAAAAGGTTCATAATCTTCATTATGTATAAAGTATGATAGCAATGTCTCTATCATGTAACAGTGATGACACAGTTTGAGGTATACTGGCTTACTCTCCACCTTGAGTTTTTATTTGCAGGTTTGCTTTGGTTCTCAATTCCTTGCTAACAGTAAATGGGAGAATTCTTCGCCTGCCGTGCATGATTGATGCTGTCTTTGATGTTGTTTTTATCGACAAACGCTTACAAGGAGACATTCTGGCAGTTTTCAACAGTATTGATGACCAAGGATGTACGTTGAAATGCGCACAGAACCATGAATGTACATCATACAATTATCAATGGATAAACAAAACATGCGAAATTCTTCAGAAGCATGTGCAACAGGATAACAGCACCGATTTACTGGATGCCAATGGTTGGATCTTCAAAACAACAAACTACAGTAATAAACTTGTAAGTGTTGGTCAATTAACCATGACATAGCATAGCATAGCATAGCATAGCATAGCATAGCATAGCATAGCATAGCATAGCATAGCATAGCATAGCATAGCATAGCATAGCATAGCATAGCATAGCATAGCATAGCATAGCATAGCTTAGCATAGCATAGCATAGCTTAGCATAGCAAAGCATAGCATAGCATAGCATAGCATAGCATAGCATAGCATAGCATAGCATAGCATAGCATAGCATAGCATAGCATAGCATAGCATAGCATAGCATAGCATAGCATAGCATAGCATAGCATAGCATAGCATATTTTCAATTTTGGGGATATTTTGCTAATAACACTTTTTTAACTATCTAAGATTGGGCCAACGTGCAACAGCCTGAAGCCTTGCGATCCGGAAGATTTATGTCTGGATACATGCAGCCCGCCTTTCTATGAGTGCATTCATTGTCAGTCTCATTATCCTGAACTCAAGTGTTTCAAGCAGGCAGGTAGGTTGTGAAATACACTTTTGTTCTTTAGATATACGTAGAATGCAAGAAGAGGATTATAAACCATTATAGCTTAAACTAGTCATATGATTCTGTCAAAGAACTAAAGATTGACTTATGTAAAATTTAATTATCTGTTTCGTTTTGATTTTGAAAATTTTGGTAACGCATTTTACAAAGCATTAGATTTTTGGTTAAATTTTATCAAGCTAATTATAGAGAAATTCCTGAAGAGAATAATTTTTTAATTTTCCTAGACGTGGATGCCTGTGCTAGCAACCCTTGCAAACATGCTTCACAATGCTTGAACAAAAGTTCGGATTATAAATGCACTTGTCTTGAGGGATATACAGGGAAAAATTGCGATATAGGTACGAGTCTTGGTTATTTATTCATTAGTTTGCTTTATTGAATCCCTTGTCAGGTTATATTTTGTTGTGCAATAATTCATATAATTTAATGTAATGACAGTTCGAATATCGATTTTGATAACATGCAATATTATATTCGATATAATTGCGAAATAAAGTATTTTTGCTTTCCTAAGTTACTCTAGACATGCCAAAATGTGACTTGTGTTAGCTCTTAGCACAATTTTATTAGGTCCCTCATTAAAAACTAGATTACTAGAATACATATTCTATCACATGTCATACCTTTACAACAATAACGAGAAAACGGTATAAAATATTGGAAAGTTCATATGCTTGTCAGGAGCCTAGGTAAATAGACAAATATTAAGTACGAATATTCACATTTGCTTTCCATCGCCACATTAATACAAATATATGGCAGATTATGTCTTTTTTCCAAATATTTTTGGTAGATTATTTTCAAAATTTGTGAAAATTAGAACAAATTCACTATAACGAGCCAAAAAATTGCAAGATTTTCCTTTTTCTTCTCTTGAAACTCGTGGAAGGGAGTCTATGCTGCCCTAAAACGCCATTTACTGTCCATGCAGCTCTAAGACACCCATAACCAGAATAATGGGTGCTCCTTCTCTTCATTTTCAATTTCCTTTCTAAGATTCTGTCAATATGGACTTTACAATACAGCCATATGTGATTCCATGCCCAAGGGCAATGTGTACATTGGCTTCGGATGATCCTTACATTTATGTCATATTTTTACTCAGTTATTTAGACTCTTTCTTTCAAAATTGCATAATTTTTTACATTATTTTTGCATAAAAGACGTTTTTAGAATAAAGAACAGTTTACGAGAAGCTAGCCAAAATATATTTGTCAAACTTAAATAAATGATGATGATAGATATTCTTTACTTGTGCAAATGTCAAACAATTCTTGTTGAATTTTTTTCACTTGTATTAAGTTTAGATTGGCCTCAACACCGTTGAATGAAATTGGAATGAAATAGAAAATAAAAGTAGAAAGAGATATATCGGTAATGTAAATAATTTGTCAGTTAGAAAAACTCTATTTCCACAGATATTGATGAATGCAAAAGCCTTCCATGTTTTCATGGTGGTACATGTTTGAATCAGATTGGGAAGTTTGTTTGTCAGTGTTTTCAAGGTTACAAAGGGATTCATTGTGAACAAGGTAACTGCGGAATGAAAAACAAAATTTTGTCCGTTATTAATAAGTATAATTTTATTTTGCGATATTTACAGAGCATAGCATGACTCAAATGAATGTTATAAAATGTTTATTACACTTTTACGGCCTGATGAGAAACAGAGTAATTTTTTATTTTTACACAAAACAATATAGCAAACCTATTAGTGTTAACTATTTTTTTGATTTCAATTGCAAAAAAATTTGTCAAAATGAAGAGAATACTTCTAACTACTTCTACTAATAAACAATTAGTATGAATATGAGTATAGTACACTATTAGTACAGAAAGGAGAAACAAGGTCGTGAAATCACTATTAACAGGTCTTTGATAGCTAAATGTTTTGAATATGTTGACACACTAACGTGCTGTTGATATCAAGACATAAATCCTTACCTTTAAAAACGAAAGATGATATCAATTAGCAATATATTTTGTAAAAACCATATAAACAGCTAATCACCTTTTTACATTATCCCAAGGGGTATTGAACGAAAAGCATAATTAAGTACCATTCGTCGTGTTTACGTGCCAATCTGAGAAAGAATATGCATTAATGGATATTAAATGCCATCATTTCTTTTTCGAGATTAAAAATTGTAGGATAGAGTATAACAACATGATTTGAACTCTTTTAGCGTTGTTCTTTTCCTTAGTTATTATAGAAAGTAAATATTTTCGCTGTAAATACTTCCAGATATCGATGAATGCCTTGATGGAACACACCAATGCCATACAAATGCAGATTGCACAAATACCTTTGGCTCTTTCAATTGCAAATGTAGGACAGGCTACAGTGGAGATGGCATCATCTCGTGTATTGGTAAGGCGACCACAATACTTGAGATCCCATTTGAATTGGATGTAAATTTTGGGTTTGAAAAAAAGTTCAGAATATATATCAAACGTTAATATAAAGCAAAAATTTCCTGTACGAAAGATTTTTACCATCCTAGCCAGAAGTGCCATCAAACACAATTCCTTCCAATGTTACTTGGAATACTGAGCAACTGGTGTTTCTTTTTTTAATTATTTTATTCTTTTGTCAAATATCATTAGCTTCCACTAAATCAGATATGTGTTAGAAACAAAACAGTGTTGGGTAGACAGTGAATTCTCAGTCCATACAAAACAATTACAATACTTTAAGCTACAAACAACGATAAGCTACAATCATCAGCATTAACAAATTAGTACAATATTGTAATAATGGATAGTTAATTAATAACTAGTACAATATTGCAATAATGGGTAGGAAGAGGTAGCTTAGTCACATGTAGTATTGGAGTGGATGGTGGGAATTACGAACTCTCAAGCCACTTGTAGGTTGCAAGTGAGTGTATTAGAAGATACCCTTAGTGAAAACACCCTTATATGGCAAAAGATGCTAAACTCAAATACACATATATGCTGATAGGCTTAGTAGACATGCATCATACCCTGACTCACTCTGACTAATGGAGGTATGAGGAACTAAGGTCCTATTGACGAACAGGCAATATTACCAATAGGCATGTGACTGAAGCAACCAATATTCATTCTATACCCAACACTTTCTGATTTAGACTAACATTTAAAACTGAAAGTACACATAAACCAATGCTGACCAAACTTATTTCAATTCTGCTACGTTAATTCATAAAAAGCTGACATTGTTTGCAAGAGAAGAGGGGCATTGCTAAACTTTCTTTTTAAAATTGATGTCAGTGTCAACGCTCTTAACAAAAATTTATAGCCTCTAGTAAATGAAGAATAACACCACCAGCTTTGTATTCTCATGCAACATTGGCTGTTTTGGCTTCTTATAATAACCCTGAGAATAGAGCCATTTGGACGATATTGAAGCTTTAAAAACCATTCAAAACACTCCATCTGTATCCTAATTTACCAAAACCTGGTGTACTTCAATAGTTTATTTTGGATGCATTGAATACAATTTGATTTTGAAGTATATGCAGCTTTCTATAGAATCATGTTTATCAAATTCATTTATTGATTAATTTTCTGAGCAGGGCAGTTATATAGGTTAGGGCAGTTGTATGTACATGGTAATGCAAGCTTATATAAGTTTGATTGCAATAAAAGCTTTCAGTAATGATTAATATCATGATTTGCAGCAATTAATAACTTTTAATACGAAAATAGTAAACATATACTGTTGGAACATACTTTTATACAACACTCGTCATGTTTTGCAGATCAACACAAATACATAAACATGTATATTCATTGTATGTATGATTTATATAAATAAATACACAGATACAGCTTTCTAATGATCGCACTAAGCCTGAAGTTCTAGGTAGCAGCATCGAACTGTCCTGTTTTTTACACTTAAAGCTTATATATACATACATATATAATTCATTTTAACAAGTCAAAATTTGGCAGCAAGTGATGATTTGGATAATTCCTAATAAAAGATTTACATAATAGAATATACTCCGACATGTAAGGCTGTCCTTAATTAGAACTAATTGTACCTTGCTTGTATTAAAAGTTGTTTTTTTCTAAAAGTCACGTTTTTAATGTTGCTATGCAATGGTTCCATATATCAGTTTATTTAACTTGTTCCTTTTAGATGTGGACGAATGTCTAGGTTCCACGCACAATTGTCACACCAATGCAGATTGCACAAACATTGTTGGCTCGTTCACTTGCAAGTGTAAGACAGGCTACAGTGGAGACGGTGTCACCTGTACAGGTATTTTTAATTGCTGCGAAATACATAGATTGTGTTCGGTATTAAGCGGAACAGAAAACGAAACATCACCGAACACAGTGAATATCACGAAACAAATGGATCATCAAATAGAACCTAGCAATAAGATGAAATGAAAGGGGTTATCCCCTGGGGTATTCAATTCAGCTCTATTCAATTCTATTCAATTCAATTCTATATATGACAAAAGCTGACAAAATGAGTTTAACCAGAACAAAGTTTATGCAGGAAATGAAAGATTACCAAACTCTGTGGAAAAAACAGAAACAAACAAATAAAACAAATTCTAACATAATGAATAACATAATCAAATTAATGACTTGGCTTGAAGGCTTGAAGGACTTGCTAGGCATTAAAAGCAGGGAGGTCATCACTATCCTCTCAAACAAATTCAGGCTGTCTAAAATTTTTTACCAATATCTTCAAAGTTATTTTAAAATTTATTGGCAAGCCTTTCTTTTGCATTGTTTTGCTTGATTTCGTTTTGTTTCATTGCCTCTCGTAATTTTAGACTGAAATCTAACCCCTCTGGACACAGTTGATTACACGGTTGCCTTTGAATCTAGAAAATCTCTAAGTTAATTTGCATCACATCTTATGTTAATTTTCTACCTCGAGGATAAAATACCAAAATAAAATTAAGGGCGAAAAGCACCCTCAGAAATCATGCCATAAACATCAGAAAATCATTCACGATGCTAAGTTCCCACATCATCGAGAGCCAGTCTGGCCGTTGGTGCACCGATGCAAATCGCTAAGCCTACCACTAAACTTATACAGGAAATTGTCACTTAGTGATACACAGTAACCCTCAAATTTTTTGGCTGAACTTCTTATCTTTATCTCTAGATGTAAATGAATGTCTGAAAGGGACACACAATTGTCATACCAATGCAGATTGTACAAACACTGTTGGCTCATTTACTTGCAACTGTAAGACAGGCTACAGTGGGGATGGAATCATCACATGTGCAGGTATATTCTTGAAAAATTCCCTAGCAACTTTTTATAATACATCACAAATGTAGTTCAATCAATTTCAAAGCATTATTTTCTTGGAAGCTACTTTTATTCAAACGCCTATCTAAAGAATATGTTGATTACAATATGTACACGTTCAATCACATATGAATAAAAATAGGAAAGGGGAAGAGGAGGGAAGGAAGGAAGGAAGGAAGGAAGGAAGGAAGGAAGGAAGGAAGGAAGGAAGGAAGGAAGGAAGGAAGGAAGGAAGGAAGGAAGGAAGGAAGGATAGAAGGATAGAAGGAAGGAAGAAACTGTAAAAGAAAGCAGAATAGTTTTTGATAATATTTATTTATATCACTGATGATGGTCTGTAGATCTCGACAAACACATAGGCGTGTTTATTTACTATAAGTAAGAATTTTGTATAAACAAACATACCTAACTCATTATAGCTAGGAAACATTATGGCAGCAAGAGTTGATTTGTGTATGCCGATTGTTTAGAATGAAAGGAAATGTTAAGAATTGGCTCCAAAATAAATTGTTATTTCGAATTAAAACTTGATGTTTCTAATTTGTATTCAAAGGTTCTTATTTTCTTAAAGAGACTTATTCAATGTTGCTATGTAATGTTTCCATATATCAGTTCATTTAATTTTTTTCCTTTCAGATGTGGATGAATGTCTAGGTTCAACGCACAACTGTCAGACCAATGCAGATTGCACAAACAGTGTTGGCTCGTTCACTTGCAAGTGTAAGACAGGCTACAGTGGAGACGGTGTCACCTGTACAGGTACTTTTGAGTGCTGCGAATTACATAGATTGTGTTCGGTATTAAGCGGAACAGAAAACGAAACATCACCGAACACTGTGAATGTCACGGAAACAAATGGATCCTCAAACAGAACCGAGTTATTCCGATTCGTTTCGGTTGATTGTTTGCATTCTTTTATTTGATTTCGTTGCATTTCGTAATTCTACGCTATAATCAAGTTCCTCTGTATACAGTTTGATACATGGTTGTCATGAACCTGGAAAATCTCGACGCACCACATCCAGTGTTATATTATTTGGTTGAACTTCTTGTATCTTTAGATGTAAATGAATGTCTGGAAGGGACACACAATTGTCCTACCAATGCAGATTGTACAAACACTGTTGGCTTATTCACATGCAAGTGTAAGACAGGCTACAGTGGAGATGGAATCATCACGTGTACAGGTAAATTCTTTAAATTTCTCCAGCCTCTTTATATAGTACTTCACAAACGTAGTTGAATAAACTCTAAGGCATTATCTTTATTGGAAATTACTTAAGTCAATAGAGTTTTGTTAATCCAAGCAATATGTTAATTACAATCTTGAAATTTTCGATTATACGTGGATTAAAAAGTCAGCAAGAAGGGAGAGAGGAGAGGAAGGAAGGAAGGAAGGAAGGAAGGAAGGAAGGAAGGAAGGAAGGAAGGAAGGAAGGAAGGAAGGAAAGAAGGAAGAAAGTAAGGAAGTAAGGAAGGAAGGAAAGAAGGAAGGAAGGCACGAATTAATTAATGTAAGTGATCATAATTTAAAGCAAAAGTATCCGCATACTTAGAAGGGTTTCTTGTAAAAGTTATAGTTGCAGAAAAACATTATCAAGCTTTCCTGTTTTTTAGATATAAATGAATGTGGAGAAGGCATCCACAATTGTCATGCCAATGCGCATTGTACCAATACTGGAGGGTCCTTCACATGCACATGCAACAACGGCTACAAGGGAAACGGCCATTCATGTAATGGTGGGTGTATTTGGATAAATGCTACACATCAGAACCCAATAGAATGATATCTTTCATGGCATAAATCAGGTTCTTTTGATAAAGATAAATTTTTACTAAATTTCAATACTTTATCTTGCATGCTTTTTGAGAGATTTTTCGGATGCTAGAAAATATTATCTGTGATATGAGTGCTTCGACGTTGGAGGCTGTTCCTGTTATCATAGAAACTGGCAGTTTCAAGAAGTAAAGCTTTTTTAAAAGCATAAAATTACATCTATTGCTACTTTCTCCTTTTTCGTTGACAAATTATTGACGAGATACTACAGTCTGTATTGCATAATCAGTAACATTTTGAAGCTTCATTTGAAGGTGGTGACATTGCACATGCCTAATAAAGGCATTTTTTAGCTGTGCTATCACTCTTCATGTCTCGTATTTCAGATGCAAATGAATGCCAGGATAACACATATAATTGCCATTCTAATGCTCAATGCAAAAATACAATTGGCTCATTTACATGCACATGCGAAGAAGGCTACAGTGGCAATGGCGTTGCTTGCACTGGTACAACTTCTTGTTATTAGCATCAACTTTAATTCTTCTCTCTGTGGCAGCATTACTCCCTAATAATATTTTTTAATTATAATTCTAATGTTTCCATGGTGTAGTACACATAGCTTGTTGATTAGAATTTAAAAAGAAATGTGAGATTTTTTGACTTATTTAGAGACACTGTTTTTTCTTATAAGAAAGATTTCTTTAAAACATTTAGCAGTCGTCTGTTTCTTCCTACGTCAAGAGTAGTGTTTTCAAGAACAGTATCAATTTTGATAATAAGAATTCTACTGATAAAGCCTCGACAAATTCTGATATGTTGCAATCTCTGCTAGATATATTCTTTTGAACATATACTCTGTGGATTTATGTGAAAAAGACGTTGAATTTAGGGTTAATTTTTTTCAAGATATAGACGAATGTACAACAGGAGTGCATGGATGTCCATTACAAACTCGATGCAAGAACACAGCTGGAATGTTCCTTTGTACTGGTATGAGAGTGTTATTTGTTATTAAATTGCTCTTGTTAGTTTTTGTTTGTTGAACCTCTTCAGAGAACCATTGTATGTTAAATGTTACTAGGCGATGCAAAAAATGTCAAAAGGCACTTCTAGCTATGTCTCATATAAAACTCTTTACGTCGAGCCTTTATAAAATCCTGGTTATGTCATTTATATGACTTTTATTAATTTTTTCAGTAAAACGCTTTTCTGCTTCTAAAGTTATAAAGTCATTGAACGATACCTATATGTGTCCTGTCTTATGCATATGCGCTTCACGTCATTCACAGCTAGGCCCTGCATGTCCGCCATTACACTGTAACACTTGAAACGCATATGCGTCTCGGCCCATGCAGAAACGTTTAGTACACTTTGAGCCACCAATGAGCGAGGGGGCAGGCTTCAGGTAAAGGGCAGTTGGAAAGTAATTCCCAGCTTCTTACAGTTATTTCGTAATCATCATCTCATTTTTATCTTCTGTGGGTACATAAAAAATTAGTTCACCTTTTGGCATAATATTTTTTTTCAAGCCTGGAAAACTGTCGTCACGAGTAAGGCAGTAAATTCAAAATTTCGTATGAAATCATCAATAACTAAAAACTGCCGATCAGGGACGTCACTTCGCTGATTTCTGGGGGGGTGTAAACACTATTGCCCTGCAAAATTTTCTCCTGTAAAACAAGTATAGAAGTACTGTACTTATGTAAGTACTGTGCATATATTACATAAGTACATATATTATTTTCAAAAAGCAACACAAATCAACAATCGCAATAAAAAAAGCAAATAATTAGTCTACTTTCACACTAATTTACTTAATTGAAATTTGTAAATGGTTTTGAAAAAACAAACATTTAGTAAACTAAAGCTTTTCGTCTGACACTCTTCAGAGTTTAAAACGTCAGAACATAGATCGAAAACTCTACGCTAAGAAATATATATACCCAGTTGTGGATCGAAATAGGCCATCCAGAAACACGAGCACATGACTGTAAAGGTTGACCAATCAGTGCCGCTTGCCTATTAGAATGTTACCAATGGAGTCCTAAGGTGAAAACGAACTCCTTTTGTCTACACAGTAGCGGTTTTTTCATGCTTATGTAGATAGATTCTAAAACTGCTAGGTGGAACGACGATCGGGCTTTACCAATAATCCGAAACATGTCGCCATTATAGTTTTTTGCACAATCTGGGTTTTCTAGCAAATGCTGCCCGATAGCAGAATCGCAGGTTTTACTAGTAATTTTAGATTTGCAAGACCGAGGTGGCTGTTCTCTTTGGGGATGGGTGTTGTTTCTAATATTAGATGGAACATGTTGTTTTATCCTATCCTCCAATCTTTGGGTGGTGCGTCCTACTCTGAAGAGTGTCAGACGAAAAGCTTTAGTTTACTAAATGTTTGCTTACTAAAAGTTTTATACCACCAAAAGATTGTTTAATTGAAATTCTTCTCATTTTTTTTCATGCCATACTTTTAATACTTTATCAAATGAGATAGTGTCTGTTAGGTCTTTCTCACAAGCAAGTAGAATGAGATCATTCAATCGTTCATCTTTCATCCTTGATCGCAGCAAATTTTTAAAAATCTTAAGTTTGCTAAAGGTTCGCTCGTCTTTAGCCACAGACACAGGTGCTGAAAGAAGAAGGCTGTAGCATTTGTAAACCGTTGGGAAAAGTCGTCTGCTTTCAAATGAAAATTTGGCAGCCTCTTTGACGGAAGTTAGCTGGATCTGTTGCTGTTCAATCATTGACTTGAAAACATCTACAATGCCTGCCAAAAGTACTTGGAACACCCAGCAATTTACGCTACATTTGATATCTTTCATTCCTTTCATTAAAAAAAATTACTACTTCCCCTCCCTTCCCCCTAAACAATGTTGATGATTTAGAGAAATATCTATTTCAGGAAGCAAAGGAAAGTGCTTCCTAAAATCCTAACCCGTTTGATAGTAAACCAACATTGTTCTGTAGGGGAGAGGGGGATGATTGATTTTGAACTTCAAAATTGACGTCAGTGTTCCAAGACTTTTGGCAGGCATAACATCTAGCTCACATAATATAACACCTGGTTCAATATGAAAGCCTAGTGGGAAAAGCTTGCAAAGATCGTGGACTGTTTCTGGGCTTATCGTTTTGAGTGGTGGCTGCAACGCCATTGCTAATGGCTCAATTTTTTTTAAGCATGCCTTGATATATTCACCATACTCTGCTATCAGAGAATCGAGAACAATAAACATTTCTGTTCTGTAGAAGGGATTAAATGTAAATTCCGCTGATGTTTCTGGACCGTTGTCAATCTTTCTTGGCTGCAACCTGAGTCGATGTTTTCTACTAAACTCAGCCGCTGAATCTATACCATGCTGTTTAGCGCACTCGTTTATAGCATCCAACTCTTCATCCATAGCCTTGTTATCAATGCGAATCTTCTTAAGATTTTCTAGTGTTGCTTCAATCAACTTCCTCGCATCTAGGATGTTAAGCTCTTCTGCTTGGAGTTGCATCGTCAAAATATTTGTTTTCTTCATAATTAATCTCATGAACATCAATGCAAAAAGAAAGTCAAATGACTGACACTTTTTCTTTATGCCTTTACCCTTCACTTTTACTTTCATTTCTTTGCTGTAGTCAATTGCTTTATGTATGCTTTGTAAACTTTGCAACACTGCTTCTGTCGACTCTGAAGAGTAGACCCATCTCGTTTTAGACATGTTGCGGAGTCTCAAGGTGTACTCATCTACTTCTTGAACTTCTTTATTGTAAATTTTGTTTCGTTTGGAGCTGGCACTGAAGAAAACATATACATCTTGAAAATGATCGTACATCGACGTAATTATGGCACTTTGTTTTGCACAATGCTCGTTGAAAGTATTAGATCGATGCCCTTGACATGGAATGTACGGGACTGGTCTTTCAAGAATATCTTGTAGAACCCTCTGTACCCCTGCAATTCTCCCAGACATATTATTTGCGAAATCGTATGTTTGGAAGCAGAGATAATTCACATCAATTTCATTTGCTTCCAGACACTTGAGAATACATTCTGCTGTCTTATCTCCATGTTTGTCATTGCACTCTTTCATTTCCACGACTCTCTCGCGCGCAATTCCTTTTTCACCAATATATCTTGCAGCCACAACCACATTTGATCCTTATTGCTAACATCGGGTGTTGTATCGGCCGAAACCGACAACATTTTAGCACACTCAATCTCATATTTTATTCTTTCTCTAACATTCTCCCCCAAGATCTCTAAAAGTTCATTTTGTGAAGTAGGACTCATGTATTTCGTACTGTAAGGCTTCAATCGTTTGCTATCAAGCCATTATTTTATCTGTGGACAGTGCCTGGACAGAAGGTTCACAAACTGGACAAAATTGCCTTTCTGGTCTCCTGCGGAGCCTCTGAAAGCGATTCATTGCCTTGCCAATGTTGTAGCAATATCAAACAAAATCGTCATTATCGATTTGCATTTTTCTTCGTCAGCCTTCTCCTGAATGATGATGTCCTTCAGATGCCTATTCATTTGTATGTCAATATGTCCTTGCTCGACTGAAAACCTAGCAAAATCAGCCAATGCTGCTGAGTGTGCTTCAGAAGAAAAATGCTGAGCAAGTTTTGCCGTTTCAACACTTTTCATTTTATGCCATGATGCAATACCGTCCATTTAAGCAGTGTCACTTTTTCTTCGCGAGGGGCACGGAAATAAGAAACTCACTTTACAATACCACAACAAATCGGAAAAACTAAAATATGTTTTGGATTTGATAAGAAAGTAAGATGAATTAAGATATTTGTGAAACTTGATTTCTGATCTCTTTTGCCCTGCGAGAACTACTAATTCCTTCTGCTTTGCCCTGTGAAATGCTGTTTTTGTAAATTCGCAAACACCCCCCTCCCCCCCAATAGTTACGTCCCTGCTGCCGATGTCAAGGGCGCCTTTATGAAATGAGCACTTTGGCCCCTCCTATCAAAAGGCAACAGGGACGGTTGACTTCCCCCTCCCCGCTCTTCCTGTACTATAATTATATGTCATTAATTATTAAAAATGCAAAACCCATTTTCGTTTGTTTAGAAGACTTTGTCTTTGCTTAGTAATTAAGTTGGTGATTAACGTCAGCATGAGTCGCGTGCCTTTTGGGTTCACTCTCAAACCAATTCGTTAACTACTCAAAGTGATAAGGGATTTTGATGTAGTCTAATCCCTGTTATACTGCCTACTCCGGTCTTCCTTGATTTGCCCTTCTCTCCTGTCAAGAATATATGTTGGCTTCAGGCCCGGTTTCAGGAAATTTTTTTTTTGGGGGGGGGGGAGGTGGGGTGCAAGTTTTTATCTACCGAGTACATTTTGGCAGCGTACACTACGTTAATGCAATCAGAATATTTATGCATTGTTAATATTTAAATTTCAGTTATTACAAAGCAATTTCAGCTGTAAAACTATTAGTTTTATAAAAGTTCTCAAATAAGCTTTTGTGGTCACGTAGCTTATTCAACCTTTAGAAACACTGAATCGAACTCTTTTATTGGACCCACTTCTTGATAACAGATAAGTTCTGTGAAATGTATTTCTCGCACAAAATTAGCATAAAGAGATGTAGACGACCCGGGAGCATTGTGCTTTGCAGTTTTGGGAACGGGGCCACAAAATTGAGCCTGAGGGGGCTAAGGATAAAGTTTGGTGGCATAGGAGGACCCACCATGGCTGGGACCGATGCGAAAGAATTTTTTTTAAAATTAAGCCTTCTAGGATGGCTAAAGATGCATCTCCCAGACTAAAATTGTCTCTCTTTATGTCAAATTTCTTGGGATTAATCTTCTTTTGTGATGTTCCTAAAAATCCTCTTCCGGAACAACGGAAAAACTGCAGAACTTTTTGAAAATGTTTTTAAAAATTACGTGAAGGATGATTTTTCGTCTGAAAATTTAAAAAATATTATCTACCCGTCAAAATCCCAATTTTACCGACAAAAAACATAAATGTATATTCTTGGGGGGGGGGGGGGGGTGTTGCACCACTTCAGGTGTTGTCTTACATTCAGGTTCGAAATCAAGACAATATTTTTAGCACTAGTCTACTATTTTTGTAGAGAACATAGCGTTTGGTAAAGTGTCCTCTCAGAGTTCAGACCTTGGCAAGGATGGCCTTGTTCTCAAATCAAGCTTGGGAAATGATGGAAATAGAAATGGATTCTGGTCTGCATGTTCACTAACAACAAATTCAGAAAATCCTTGGTGGCAAGCTAATCTTGGTAGAAAAGCACAGGTTGGAAAAGTTATTGTCGTAGGCCGCACAGATGCGAAACAAACCAATTTAAACCCCTTTCAAATAAGCGTTGGGGAAGACGGATCAAATGGTGGTAGAAACAATCCAAAATGTGTGTCGGATGGCATCCTGCAAGGTGGCAAGCCAAAACATTTCAGCTGTAGCCATAGCTTAGTTGGAAGATACGTCAGTTTATTTGTCAATGCAATAAAAAGTCTTCAGCTCTGCGAATTGGAAGTCTATGAAGGTAAGAAAAGAAAGGATTCAAATAATCATGCTTACTACTGAATACTATTCCCTATCAACACAGCACATTTGCCTGATATACATTTATAGTCTCTAATCCTTGTTGACAGAGCATTGTATTGGACGCATAGCTATTAGCTCAAATTTACAACTAATGGCCATTAATGGTTGACTTGAAGAAAAATTCCTACTGTCAGCCTTTGCCTTGTGACTATATATGTATAGGATGAAAATTCTTTCCACAATGGTGCTGCCCTATTGTATCGAACCACCCTTTGTTGGAATCGAACTCCAGTTTGCTGCTTCAAAAATCAACGCTCAAGGACACGGTGTCAAGCCAAGGACAACATTAAGAGTATATTTTTCTGCTCAGTGGTATATAAATTCTCAAAAATCAAATTCAATCTATACCACCAATTCCTTTCCGTTGTTGCCAGCAAGTGTAAATTTTTCAAAAAAAGGCAATTCTTGCATACCCTATCGCTAAACAGGTTATTACCACAAATTTACATACTCATTGTGACGCAAAGTTTAGATATATATAAAAGTTCACCCTTATGCAAGTTTATTTACCCGTGTGTTTTTCTTAGGTATTCTTAGGTCTATCTGGTCGCAACCTTTTTACTCACGATGATGACATGTTACGTTGCTTAAAAACTTTAATATGGTTCCTTTTATTTGTTCATCTTTACGAACGCTTCGTCTTTTTTTCAGGCAACATGGCATACAAAAAACCATCGCAACAGTCTTCGGTTTATCAAAAGGGGGGTATAGATCTTGTATCACTATTTGGAAACGATGGAAATAGAAATGGAGAATGGTCTGTATGCGCAACAACAGTACACTCTCTGCAGCCTTGGTGGCAGGTTGATCTTGGTAATCGTGTGCATGTAGGGATGGTTGTCATTAGAAGTGCTACAAATTGGCAACAAAATATCAATCCATTCAGCATAAGTGTTGGTGATGCTGAAACGAATGGTGGACGATCAAATCCATTGTGCGTATCAAATCAGAACGTATTAAGTGGGGAAGTGAAAGAAATGCATTGTGGGCAAGCCCTTTTGGGGAGATACGTCAGTGTATTAAGCGAAAGTCCGGTACTGCTGCATCTTCAAGTCTGTGAATTAGAAGTGTATCAAGGTTTGTTTCCATTTTCAAAAATTTTGATTTACTCCGAATCAATTTTGCAAGTTTTCTTGATACCAACATGCATGCCTGCGAAAATATTATGCATATCATTCAATCTTCAACGAATTCAGTAGGCTCCAATCCACAGAATGTAGAAACCTGATGGCACTAAATGTCCTGAGGACAAAAACATTCGAACGTCTTATATCAATGATATCATTAGCTCATAGATATGTTAGTATCATTATTCTTACATTCAATCATGTAGATCTTCAACATTTCATGAAAAATTAGCTTACTCCCTATAAATTTGAAGAACCAAGAGATGGGATAAGGTCTCATGCACTCTACGCCTCTCAATAATTTAAGTCCATAGATAAATAAAAATTAACCGGCCTAATAACATACTAGATGAAAATACCAACAATGGTACCTTTCTTCTCGCGTGAAAAACAGCGACCGTAAAAAGCAGTTGCTCAAGAGACTTTAGGGGTTTAGAAAAAAATGGTCCTTGATGTCGATTAATTTACAATTTTTATCTAGCAAAAAAAAGCTCATGTGTAAGTTGGTACGCCGTTGGTGCAAGGAAGAATGGCATTTATGCTATTAGCGACGAAACTGGCTTAATTCATCACGTCTATTGCGACTTCAGTTCGGAACCTAATTTTGCCTGGACTCTTGTCACTTCATTCTCCTTGGAAAACAATAACCAATTCAAAAGTAATCCATTCTACAATAACGATCCGATTTCCGAGCATGAACCTAACTGGAAAAAATACAGGTAGGTGTATTGGTACAGTAAACTTTTAATAACTTGAAGCCCGATAATTTGAACATTCGTTGAAGTCTATTTATTTTTAAGTTTATTGTTTTGTTATAAAATTCTTCTTACGGCAATACTTCATTGCAAGTTACGATGAAGCAAGCTGGCATCAGTGATGCTATGGGCTCAGTGGGGTTCAGGTTATCGTAAGCGTCAGCTTATTTGAACATTCGTTAAGTCCAACTGATATCATGGGCTCCGACACAGGTTTGAAAGTAAGGGGGACAAGGGAAAATTTATATCTTATCACAAACAATTTTGAAGAAAGGTTTATTGTTTTGCAAAAAACTGGGTGGGGACATAACCTGGATATTGCATTCCCCTTGCCCAGTACATTTTTGTAAAAAAGCTTCCAATAACTGAAACATTTACTTTCTTGGAACCTTAAATCCATGACTACAGTTGGAAAATGTGTGGAGTCTGTTTTATATTAAGTAGTTTTATTGTTTTTGTTGTAAAATTCGTCTTACAGCAATACTTAATTGCATATTAAGATGAAGCAAGCTGGCATCAGTGGTGCTAGTAGCTGAGTGGGGCTCAGTTTATCGTTAGCGTCTAGTGAGTTTTCAGGCACTTTATGGCATGGTGTGGGCACTGTTATAGGCATCTTCTAAACAGTTGAAAATTGTCATCGCTGTTAGATATTTTGACTTACAGATTTAGCCAGATATAGATTTTGGAGAAGAATAGCGACATTTCAGAATGACTGATGCATCAAGTAATAAAATGAAGGTGACATGAATTAATAACATAAAGTTTTATTGAGGAAAAGGAACCGATTCGGAAAGCCAAAGAGAATTCAGCTCGATTTAAGCATCCCAGAACCAGAGCAAGACTTAAAATTCTTTAAAAAATTGTTTAGCAACTTCTGCAATATTTAACTTTGCGTTGACCCAGTCCTGTTACTCTCCAAATCAGTGTCGCTAAAGTAGCTCCATCATCTGTTTGTAAAAATTGACATTGAATCTGGAGAAAGGGGTGCTTTCTTCAAAATAGAAAGGGAACATAGATTTTGAAGTGAAGTGTGTTTTGGGATTGTAGAATTTGCAAAAGATTTCTTTATTTTGCTTCGAAAAGATGGAAAAATGTGAATATTTTGATGAATTCCGCGATTACCATTAGCAAAATAAGCATCCTCCAAAAATCACGGTTCTTAGTTGCGCAAATGAATCTCTTAAAAACTTTATTTGTAGATAGATATTTATTCAGATGCTATTTTCTTTGGTTTAATGAGCCTGACTGATGCTATTTATATTTAAATTTATATTATATTTATATTAAAAATAAATAGAAGATAAAAAACCCTATTCGAAAGACCTTCCGAAGAAAACTTTTTTTACAGAGAAATGATAGCTAGATTATCAGCTTTGGGATTTCTAGACCTTTTTTTTATATATACCAAATTATAAAAGCAAAAAATTCTTTCAACAAGAGACACGGGGTCTTCGATTTCTGGCTATGAATGGTATTTACAATATACAACATTTAATCATACATACTAACAAAACAGAAATGAAAACAAAAATTCACAAAAAGTCAAAAAAGTACAAGAGGTGTATCTTGGTGTGCAATAGATGTCAGAAGCAAGTGAGTAATTTTGAATTGGTCAATGTTTTGAGAAATTGCTATATAACATTCCAACATCTAGTAAGAGATTATCCATGACATGGTCTCTGACACAGGTTGGAAAGTTTAGGGGCTAAGGGGAAATTTAACACCCATAACAAAAGAATTTGGGAAGTTCGTTTGAATTGAAAAAATTGGAGAAGACCATGGCCCAACGCCCCCCCCCCCTCCCCCTCTCATTGGAGGCCTTGCCTTTAAAAAGATATAAAATTGAAATTATCTAAAAATCGCATTTTCTGGTATAATGTTCCAAAAAATCGATTGCGTTTAATAAGTGTCGAGAATTCCGTAATCCGCGCAAAATTTTCTTCGAATTCCGTTGTTCAATAAATACGGTTAAAATTTTTGGCACACTACATTTGAATCATGGATCCCTTTTTATTGACTTAACTTAACAGGCTTGCAAAATCTTTCTTAACAGGCTTGCAAAATCCCTAATGCAGCACATAGCATCATCCGCAACTCACTGGAGGGCTACATGCAGTTACCCAGGCCACGGAATTGATCATCGAGATTACGTGAGGGCAAAGCTAAGTAAAATAAACCCCCTTACTTTTAGCAGCAATGGTGAGTGCAGGACTGTTGAATTAATCAATATTCGAGGATACAGTGCAACTGGCCAGCTCGTTAAGTTTTGGCAAAGATGGGACCTATTTTTTTGCACTGATTCTAGCTATGATTCTTGTTTCGTTCTTGCCAAGCCGGGGTCCATCCCAAGTGAAGATAACTTTGGACATTATGGAACCGTAAATAAAAACTTTCGATGCACAGAAAATTCTGCTAGCACGACACAGTATTGGATTGGTGCCTCTACCCAGTCTTTAGGTCCCTGAAAGAGCCTGGATCGAGACCTGCAAACAGTTCCTGAACCACGACATAAAAACTTATTTGGCTACCAAGGTTCTACAAGGTTGCATCGATTGTCAATTCCTTTTACTGAATAATGCATTTTGTCATTTGGGGCAAAAATACGGAAGAAGTGAATATCTAATGCCTCCCTATTATTTCTATTTCTACACACAACCTTGGCATACTCCAAAGTCTCTCCAACCTACACACATAAGAACTTTAAAGTGTCAACAGGAATAGGAAATACAGCAAAAGATTTTTCATTTTGTCACCAGCCTTTTAAATATATTTTATTTTATTAGGCATTGATACTAACAACCATTATTGACTCTAGTGATTTCGCAGAAAACGAATTTTTAGGTAAAATTTATGTCTTTCTCAGATCAGAGTTGTCGTTTTTCGTTATTGAAAATTGCAGAGCAGAATAACATATATCTTCGCTACTACAGAACTCACGTCCATTTTCTGGTTTATCATCCTCCTCCCGCCTCCCTGTTTATCAGATTTTGACTTAAACAATCTAAGAACCAAAACCGTTACATAAACAAGTGACGGATGAATAACACAATTTTTTTCACTGAAAATTAAGTAAAAACTTTTTTAAGTTTCTTTAAATCAAATTTAAAGTTTTTCACTGAAAATAACATAATTTGTTACAAAACACATATGTATTATAAAATAGCACATAATATTTCAACGTAAATCCTTGATTAGAGAGCCAGGCATTTATTTAATTTTCATATTGTATACAGGTGCCTAATCGAAAGGGTATCTATTAAAAGCTGCAATCTGATCATGAGGTTTGAACTCGATTTACATTCAACAATTTTATGAAATCTCTTGGAATAAAGAAGGTTTGAGATTGTTATGAACATTAACTGGGTTTAAGAAGTAATTTACGGTATAAGAATTTGTGTCTACAGTATCATAGATTTAAGGAATGCCCGACGGTATGTTAACAGCCGTACCTGACATGGCAGACACGTGATTGTTGGGGTCGAAGTTCTTTAATTATTCGAGGGAATTTAAAATTTTGTAAATATACTCGTATTCTTATCGTTATTGCACAATAGTTTGTTGTTTGCATATTAAAAAAAGCTATCCATATTTTTTATTCTTCTTTCAGTCTAACTGCTGGTGCACGTGTAGGTTGACTGGAAAATCTTGACTATGATTAATAATTTGAATAGGCTTTCTTAAAAAGTGACTATAGCTTTTGATCATCGCCATTAAGTATGGGCAACATGCTCTGAAAATTTGCTTCAATATACCGATTTGGCACAAAAAGTATCTTTGTATAAGATAATGTTTCCCGTATGAAAAAGCATTTTATTGACAGGATACTAGCTAACAATCGTAAAGCCTCTAACGAATCTTAGATTCTTTTCAAGATGCCTAAAAAAACAAATTCGTGTGTAAGTTCCGCTAGAGTACGGTACCAAGTGCTAAACGGGCCCTGGTGTCAAGTCACCGTATTGATCAGTTCAAACAAATTGTTAAAAATAAATGAAATGATTCTAAACTATTTGATACAAAAAAATCTAAAAAGCCTTTCCACTGATGTTAGCTATACATCTAGACATCTCGAGAGTATTCTGCAGTTGACTCTAACAAAATAACTTGTCAAAAACATACTCATAAAGCATCGAGATACAATTTTACAAGAAACGTAAATCTTGTGCATCAAGGTGTATGTACGTTTTCTCATAGAATGAATTCAGACGAAACAAAAATAGATCCCGCCGAAAACTGGAAGAGAGGACGTGTCCCTTTGCTTTTGAAAATCTCAATCATCATATTCTTATGAAAGACGATTTGCTACCTCAAAAGGATTGGACACAACCCCGACTCAAAATATACCGTGATGTTTAAATGCAAGAGCTACCAATAATGGCATCAGGTTTCCAAGGGCTAATATCAATTAAAGCAGACAGGTGTTTCATTTAATGAATTTCATACCTTCTTAATTGCTTTCTACCTTTACATGTTTCTTCTTTAAGTTATTCTAGTATTGGTACCGTCCAAGCACTCTCTCAGAAACACCATGGCAATAAACCAAAACATAAACAGGGCTTAAGACTTGGCTGGCACGCAGCTACTTTTATGATACTGTGTATGAATGGAATATTCTTGAAGATACTTTAAAATCGGTAAAATTAAAACAATAACGGTCTTAAAATACTAAAAAAAATTAAAATTTTATTAAAACTTTTTCCTTTGAAGATAATTTTGCATGCAGATTTTGCGTGTTTGCTATTTATACAAGAATGCAAGAAAATTTTGTTCTTGGACTATTCAATTATATACGGAGTTAGCGGCTACAATAACACGGAGCCAATCAATAACGCTTTTCGTCCTCTCATGTGAAATCAATACTTTAATTTCATGTTATAAACTTAGGATGCTTTTGTTATATATTGCGTCTAATTTTTTGCGTTATTTTGATGAGCTGCAGATTTCGAAGTTATCACCGATTCCAATAGGATGAACTAAAAGCTACTTCATCCCTCAAACGACAAGAAACATGGGGTAGTTTATGTGAGTCAGGGTGTTGCAAGAAGCATTGAAAAGCAAGTTATCAATTACTTAGTATATGGAAGCCATTATAATACAATGCAAACAAAATTTTCTTCAACAAAACACAAACTATGATAAAGAATTCTCACTAGCTTAATCAGACGTAGATAGCAGCATTTTGATAAGTCAATATATAAACGTCCTGAAACCAGTGGTCTAGCTAAAGAAAAAAGTGTGGGATCCTGGAGACCCCCAAAAAATTGACACAAGCTTTGCTTCTAAGAACTACTTATTCACTTATGGTTTCTCTAAAAGAAAGAGCGAAGTCTGCTTGCCAGCGAATGCAGAATCTCCAGACCAGGTAAATACAAAGCCAATCAAGATGTCTATTTAGTCTAGCAGTGCCACAGTGAGAGCCCTGAAATTATTCCATTTTCCTTTCAAAGCACGCAGTTGAATTTCTTTGAAAATTTAAGCAATATTCTTGCCATCATTTCAAAAACTTTCCCGGAAAAGAATAGCTATTTATGTTAAAATCTACTGATCTACAAATGGTCTGTCATGAAAACTTTATGCTGGAAACTAATCAGCTCTACTCTCCAATTACATATTAAGATAATACAGTTAACGTCATAGGGAGCGAGATTTTTGCTCTACAAACGTAAGTAAATTATGTCTACCGACGGAGCACTAGAAGTAGGCCACTCAAAAGTATTTTAAAGCTACAACTTCTGACATGGAATTGGAGTTAGTTATAAACACGTTGTGCTTTAAAGGCTCTTGCGCAACCGGCATGCTCAGCGGCAACTGTTTAGAGAAATTGATTGTGTTTTGTATCTTCACGTAGTACGATAGGCCGGTTTTAAAAATATAGCCGCAAAGCATGCCGGTTGCGCAAGAGCCTTTAAAGAGGTAGCCTTGTCCGATTTCCCATGGGGAGACTTGAACTCCGCATATACGGGGATGGGTTCAATCCGATAATTCTTGGTAAAATTTTCCTTCTTATCCAACACTTTTTGGTACCCGACTAAACAATATAAACGTTTTAATACTTACAGATGATAAAATTAAAAAAGCATAAAAGAGTAAATATTTTCCATCAGATACTTAAGCAAATGCATCAGCTGGATTTCCTTACTGTTGTGCATCCCTCTTCTAAGGTCTGATGTCATGAAATTGATGTTGTTTTGAATGATAATTAAATAACAGCTTAAGTCACTACGGCCAGTAACTTCTTATGTTCTAAGCAAAACTATTTAGCTTTTGATATTGGGTCTCAGCAAAACTTGTTAGTTGATACTTACGGGCTTCTTAATTCTTTTGATAATCTTAAGTGAATTTTGACAATTCTCGATAAACCCTACGCGTAAAACTGTTAAAGTGACCCACTGGCTCCAAGATAACGGGTCAAGAAAGGCGCTTTCATTTACAGTTTGCATTTGTAACGAGCATTAAATTTTGATTCTTTCAGAAACTAAACTTAGTTGAATATGTTTGCGATTCTAATACTTGATCTAGGTTTTCCTTCCTTTCATTGGCTTCTTATTTTTCTTTTCCAAAACTTAAAACTAGCTTCTCAGAGCATACTAATAGCATCAAATTAGCCTTTAGACATTTAAATTCGATATAATTAATTATTACATTTCTTTTGCCAGGCATTCGCCTAACTCTCTTTTTAAGAGAAATTATCGCTCTTCATAGAGCATTAGTCAACGATGCAATTAAGAAATCAATACAAAAATTTCGTCCTTTACTCCCTTTCATTTACATCAATTATAGGAGACCTGAATTCTAGATCATCAATGCTAATTTTTCTGGATGCAAGATCTTTGCATTCTCATAGTGCATTTGATGATACGGACAGCGGCATTGTCATCATCCATACTTGCTACCAGTAGCAAATTACCCCCAAATACAAGAGCAGGATAATTAGAAGGCAACGTTGCCTGACAGTAAAAAAGAGCTACAAGCTATCTTGGCAAAGAAAGTTGGTTTGGATTTTCAAATGCAACATTTCTTTTACTTCCAAGAGTAGTTTTTTTTCCATTTTGTCACAGAAAATTGTCAATTCCAGCGATGAATCAGCGGTTTGACGGTCAAAATCCACCGGAAGTTAGGAATCCAGACGTTTCCTTTTGGTATATTCTATGCTTATTTCTGCCTCTCAACATCATGTCTATATATACATATGTTTCTCAGCATCTTTATGCACTTCTTTTGTTTCAGCTCCTACATAAATTGGTCCATTGGCCTTCTACCAGTGTAAAAAAATGCTGGTACTGCACGGTTGGTTGTGGTGTTCTTATTACGTCTGTCAATTTCTGCATTCCTTGCAGCAGTTTCGATACACATGCTTGGCATACTACTTGCAATTGGCCATCTTGCAAAGGGTTCACCTTTAACCTTCTGAGGGGCATTGTCAGTAAAATCACACAGGGACATTTCGCCTTCCCTTTGATTACCCTCTAATCTTTTGCCGGATTCTCTTTCCTTTTTCCGATTGTATGGTCCTCGCTCAATTATATATGAACAACTTGAGCTTCTTTCGTGTTTTTCTCGGTGATTGGTTTCAGTATCTCTGAAATGCGAGTGGAGCATGCACGATGGTGCACTTGAAGATTGTATTCTACAGGTTCCTTTCTTGCTAAACTTTTGAAAACTTTCACCTGATATTCGTTCAGCTTGACTGGTCTCACGCATTTCATCTTGCTTAACCAGAACACCTGGTGGCTCTTTCTCCGGTTCTAAGAACCTTTTTTTATTATCACTGGGGTTCTCTGCGTCAAAAGAAGCTGACAATTTTTGTTTTACTTCCATCTTGTTGTCATTTACAATTACTGACACACGTTGTTCTTCACCTCTACAACCTCCACTGTGTTTCTCTTTCATCCATGATATACCAAATGCATTGTCATTAACATTTGATCGATATGCAGTTCTTTCCAGAGATGTCTCGTCATCGTCAAGCATGGTGCGTTCACTATCCCCTGTAAAGCTGGCTTCAACTTCAGATTGTGCATTGGAAGCTATTCGCGATACTTTACCGGGTAGCTTATCATTGATTTTCCAAATGCCTGAAAATTCATTAAAATTACGTTGAACAACAGGAGGGTCGCTATGATGTCTCTTTTTCGCGTATTTTTCTAATGAAAATCTTTCGGGGACTATATCACCCCAAAGATTGAAAACAAGTCTGTTATTGGTTTCACTCGTTGATCTTATGCCCTTCAAGTCTTTCCCGTGATTTTCTGTATTTTGATGCCTTGATTTCATTAAAGACTGCAGTGAAGTATGGCCTATTCTCTGTTCGATGTTGTATCGTCCTATCTCTTCACTAAGATTCTTTATTGTAAGAGCTCCTTCTTCCTGCTGCGGGTATGTAAAAACCTCATCACTTGACATGTCCCTAATGTCAGTTTGTTGAGAACTATATAATGGGCTAAGTTGGTTTGGAGACTGAATACTCCCTTTTCGAGATAATGAAGTCTGATTAAAACAATCAGATGATTTGTTATAACATCTAGTGTTTTGTGTTTCATTGTCAATGTCGCTGAATACTGTTTTGCTGTCAGCCTTAGGAGTATCTCTAAAAAGAGAAGCATGCTCTACGGCGGCTTTCACTTTCTTGCCAATTGTGGAATCTTTGATTAAGATAATATTCTGACTGGAATAAACAACCATGGAATCTTTGCTCTGTTTCTTGCCAGCTGGATCATTTTGCATTTCAGGAAATCCATTTCTTAAGTGGTCCCTCGTTGTACTGTCTGAAGTTATCAATCCTTCTTTCTCGGACTGTGTTGCAATGTAGTCAAAAGAACGCTCTGTAGTGTTGGGTAAAGGCATTCTTGCGTCATACTGCCGTTGGTTGCTCCGATCTGTGCCTCGAATAAGTGTGTTATGCTCCGCGTTTTCATAGACCATGTTTGGAAAACGATGATGGGAGGCCAGAGAAGGATGAGGAGACGGCGTTTTGTTTTCTTCAAAATAGCTGGAAATGAAAAAACATTAATCAAGTTTTCTGTATAATATTCGTCAACAAAAATTGAATATTAATAAATTACTCCAGCTGTACTGTTCTATTTATTAGATGCTAACCCTAATTTACAATTATATTTGGGAAACCATTAATGTAACATGAGATCTGCATAAAACATACATGAAAAAGAGGCTGCGTTTTTTAAATGGAGGCTGTATTTGCATCATCTTCATGAGGCTAAAAGAGGTCAAGAAAGCAACTGGAATTTTTACTTAGCCATGTAGACTATCCCTTGACTAAGGTCCCAATTCTTTTGCAATATAGATATCTAAAGTATTCTTATATATGATGAAAGAGTGATTGATCATTCGTTACCACTGTAGGCACATCCCTGTTTGCGTCGCTCTTGTCACCAATTTGGTCTGCTTGACAAGTGATCTATTCTCAGACCTGTATGCCTTGTCTGCAGCATTTTGATTCATGCAGAACATTTCATCAGCCAAAGATCTAAAAATATGAAGGGACCCTTTAAACACTCTCAAAGCGCAAACAGTTTATAAAGAGTATACATACATAATATTTCAGTTTATTATACTGTTAATCGTTTATTATTTTCGGTGGTGAATCCTGTTTCCTCTGATTGCATTGTGCAGAGATTTATGAAGCTTCTGGCATTGACTCTAATCATATTTGTTTTTAGTTAAAAAGCTGTTCGGTCTAGTGATCATTACAGTGTCGTGCAAAAACTTTCATGCGTGAACGGCAAACATACAATAGATCATTAAGGAGCTTGCCTCATTTTCGCCTCCAATGATTCAATTTTCTTTTTTAGTTCATCATTTTCCTGATCTTTTAAACGAGCCCTAGAAAAACATAGAATATATTAAAATATTATTCCAGCAAGCTATGTTATAAATTGCATAATAATTTTATGTAGGCTCAGAAAAAACAGTTATTTTACTCACTTTTGTCTGACGAATTATAAAGATTATTTATTCTGGCTCTTAAAATGTCAAACATACAGTATACGTTGCTTGTTTACAAGAATGTCAAATTTGGAAAGAGGTCCTTGCATTCAATTTAAACCTTCATATTGGTAAAATGTTACTGGACTGCATAAAACTGATGAATGCTTAACAAAAAGTATTGCATAATCAGGCGTTAGCTTAGCTCTTCGATAAATAGCAGTGTTGTTAGCCAATTTATCATCAAAACCTAATGTCTTCATAGTTTGATGAAAATTAAAGAAAATGAATTGCCCTAGAAAGGAACATATGATTTAAATTGCTTCCACTAGCTTTATTTATACATTGCCTCAAAGACAAATTAGAAATGACAAGGGTAATTTCCTATCTATCTTATGACAACCCATGACATAATAAAACCTTTCTTCCAAATGAAGACAAAAAGATACATAACTCGTGACAATTTTTCTCTCTGTCGATGAAACATATAACTAGGCATGGCAGCAGTCGTCTCGGCAATAGAATTTGGTTCACAAAACAATGGTGTAATTCGTTTGCATGGCCACCACGTCTGTTGTTTATTATTGTCTTACTAAACGTAGAGTTTTACTAAACTTGCCTCGCATTGCTTGCAACTTTAATTTTTAGACAGAAAATGATGGGTAAATAGAGGAGATTAAAAGATCCTTTATCGCGGGGTCTTTGGGGATGATGAAGTTTTAGGGGGGGGGAGGGTTTCATCTGCATTGATAGACCTACTCCTGTGATTGAACAAATGAAAAGGTTTCATGCTATGAAGCTTATCTTTGTTCGAAACTACGAATTTTAATTCTTCTCATAATAAGAATTAATACAGTATTTTCTACTGATTTAATGGGTACATTCCCAATTACACACCTGCTTTCTAGACTATCAATGTATTCTTTTTTACGTCGACGACTTTCTTGTGCAGAAATCTAGACAATAAGAGAAAATAAATTGGCAAAATTTCATGACTTTTAATTCCTTTTTGATTGAGTTTATTCATTGAAAATAAATAAACTTTATGACAACTTTTAATGTTTACCTTGTTTTTTATCCTCCTTCGAGCCTTTTTGAGCTCTTTTTCCTCAACCTAGAAATTAGAGGAATAGACTTCGACCAAAACATTTTCAAAAACTGGGAAAAATGGGTCTGAAAAAAATTCATACATTACAACAACAAGTATAATAGATCAAATGCTATTTAATATCAATTAAGTTATACATTTTTCTTATCTTCTTGCATTTTTTGAGAAGAACAATATCAGTGATCAAGAAGAAATGAAAATTCATTTGCAGTTTTGCGAACTATGTACAGAAACTTGATAAGAAAAAGGTAGTACAATCTAGCAAGGCAGCTGGGCTATTCATTTTCTTTCTTGATTCAGAACTTGGAAATCTTTCCAGAAGCCAATACACGTCATTACTGCAAAGAGCAGCAAATTTTAAAATTGATGATAATGTAGAAAGTTAAGGGTATCAAAATTGAATTCTAAGATAAGACAAAGGCTAAACTTTTGTTGATGTTTTTAATTCCTGTTGATTACTTGGTTGCTTCCTAACAAAAGATCATAAGGGTTATCAATACTTTCACAAGTCGAAGAATTCAGGAAAAAGGAAACTTTGCGGAAATTTACAAAAATTTTGTAAGAGAATTTCAAAGTTATACCTTCGAAATCTGGTTGTCATAACCACGCTGAAAAAATGTTTGGTCAAGCAAGGCAAAATTTCTGTCATCTTCTTTTGGCAAAAATACCATATCGTTTGTTGATTTTGTGGGCTCTGGTGTAACCATTATTAGATATCAAATCATTATTGAATTTATTGTTGTGCCAATGCCTGAAAGAAAGTTTAACATGAGTCAACGAGAAGTCTTAGCACAAGTAAAATCTTGTATGCAGTTGTTTGCCCATATCTATTAATTTGAATGGACAGACCTCATTGAACAAATTACTTTGGACAGTTCTTCTTGAAAACGACTATAAAAAATCCTTTCAAAAATATATTAATAAAGGTAAAGTTCTTTGCATATAAATTTTGACAATAGTACAGTTGTATCGAAAACAGTGATGAAGACTGTCCTACGAACCAAATGAGTAACCTGAATAGAATTAAAAAGAGCCACTCCATGGTAAACTGTCTGATTATTCTCGTTGATAATGTTAATTACTGTAGAATAGATATATTTGCCTTGAGGATAATTGAACACCAAACTAACCAAGTTAGAAAATACAACATATCATTAAACAAGATAAAACACCAAGAGAATAAACAAATAAGGTTCCCAAACAAGAAGAACTGCTGCTTTTTAGGATCCGTTAGAGTAAACCTACTAAAGTTGCGTTTTGAATAAACTTTCTAAAAACTTTCTAAGCTATTATTGCAAAAAAGCTCCTACTAGCCTAGTCTGTGCTCAAGAACCTCTTTCTTCAGGCTGGGGTTCTGGAGCACAAGCTACTCCTAGCCCAATGGCTGCACGGTCCCCGCTTCATAGTGCTATGTGTAATTGTAATACCCATAGTATCCTGCTTGTATCAATACGATAACAAATAACTGATATGTTATTCAATGTTGTCATATTATCCAAAAGCTAACTAATACTTTAGGTCTTATAGCTTCTAGTTTTGCTTTAGTGGTGAATGCTTTAATACAAAAAACTGTAATAAAAAAACAAAACTAGGGGATAGCATCACCAAACGTAAATAAAACAGAAAAGGAGCTGCCTGGTCTGGTTAACCCACGAATATAGAAATTAAAAAAGGATCGGGTTTCAAACAAAATGTGACAAAATATTTTATAAATGCAACCTACATTGTGACAACCAGGTTCCTAGATCAACCAAGCAAAAAAAAATTCACACTCTAAGTCAAAGCAAGCATTTCTCTCCTGCGTCATCATTGATAAATAAAGAAGCAACAAATCAAAGAGATGTAATCAATAAGGCGTATTTGGAACGTTAGGAACTGCTTCATTCTAATAAAGGGACATTGGTTCAGTATCTAGCCCGCAAAACCTCCCTTCAGTTCTCTAAGCTGTTCCCATGAATCTTACTGCCCATCTCCTTCAAGTTCAACCAAAGATTTGAAACAACTTATCCCTGTCGTTTTACAAACAATGTCCAGTAACAAGTTATAAAGTGACTCTAAATACCTTAGGCAAAAATGGCTGCACCGCAGAAGATAAATCAATGTAATAAAGACGGATTTCACAATATCTTCTCATATTGTAGGAATTTGAGCTGCACTTTTTCTCTACACTTTAAAACTCATATCAAGCAAATCTTTCCTCTGTGCTTTTGCAAAATATTTGACAATATACCGAGTTTATCACAATACTTCAACGTTTGCAAATCATCAACAAAGAGAAAGGCATCAACAGATAATATCAAAACCATTTGAAACAGATGTAGCAGAAATAAAATGCAAATGGCTTGATAAAAAGCAGAAAAAGTAAATTTAGTCAAAAAATATCCTCTGCAAAGCAAGTAGTTGCATTTAAACAAGTAATAGCTGAAGATTGGCATCAGTGACGTGTCTGTAGAAACAAGTTTCTCATCGCCAATACTTCGGGGAAACTTTTTGTTGCCAGAATTTCAAATGATAATAAAAATTTCTTCACTTTATCATGGCTAGGATTGCTCAAAGCAAAGCAGGTTTCTTTAGCATCTTGCAGAGCTTGAAACAGAGCAGAGATTGAAACCGATAATATAGTGGTTGCATGATCGAAGATATGCAAGAAGGGCAACTAAGCCAAAAGAGATAGTATGCTCAAATTAAGTTTTGCCTTATATTTTTGTACTGGAAAGGATATTTGAGCTTCAGGGTATTGCCCGTAGGAATAAGCCGCCTTTTCCTGGACATTGCCAAGATGATTCCTCCAAAAATATCTAAACAATATCAAACTATAAGGCACTGGGTCTTAACCGTTCACAGATTAAACATTCTCAATTACTCACTAAACCCGACCAGAAATCTCCTATAAACCTGTCAGAAGATTCAAACCTTCTTTAATTTACTTACATTGCCTACCAAATGTCTTGGAATACTTATGTCAGGATACGGGGGCAAATTCAGCCACCTCTTCCTATTTGAACAAAGTTTGTTTACTATAAAACAACAGAGGAGTTAGGAAAAACTTCTTTCTGTGACTTTTATGATATTTTTTTAACTATCAACATTGTTTTTGGGAGAAGGGGTGTGGAAGAAAAACATTTGGGGAAAAGGATCGATTAATATAAAAGCACAACGCGAAGTTGGGTGTTCAAAGTACTTTTGTCAAGCATTGTACATATTTTTATAACGCAAATGCTAGTGTTTTTCTTCAACATCCAATAATCTGCAGGTAGTTAATCTTTTTCAGATGCACAAGAGTTTAAAATTGTTGGTAATTTCCTGTTGCCTATCTACATGGCGTATAACTGGAACTGCTTTAAAAGGATTACCAAGAAAATATAAGCCAATCTAAAGAAATTTCTAAACCTCTGGTTTTCTGTTGTCTTGATATAGTGTTTCTACTGAATAGGACACCGACTGCTTATTCGACTAATTTTAAAGATAATTATAGGTGACATACGGAGATCAGCATGAATGCTATTGTACACTTTAATTGAAATGACCTTTTAAAGAGCGAAGTTTGCGAAAGCCACATTGATAACATGGGGATAATTTAGAAATCACACTATGGCGTTTCACTGGTATTTTTGATGATGTAATCTTTGGTTGAAAAGAATACTGGAAAACGAAGTCTTACCAAAAGACAACCCACGTCTTAAAGATGATTAAATGTCTATCGTATCGTGTTTGGGAAATGATACAGGATGATAATTGACTGATACGTTATTTGGCTGTGCAAATCGATTATCAGTCTTATGGAGGAAAAGGAAAGAGCCCTTAAGAGTTAATAAAGGTTCATGAAATTCATAGCAGGTGTTTGCAGAGTAAACGAGCGAGGGATAGTTTACTCTTGTAAATAACATACGAGATTCCATCAACAATTATTATTTCTAGGGATTTACGGATAAAACAAAAGAATTTCTACCAAAGGTGTATGAGAGTTTAATTGGTTGATCCCCCCCCCTCCCACTAAAGGACGACAGGGTTATTTGGTTTTTTATAAGCCAGTACCTCTTATGAGTTATTCAAAGATGAACAGAAATGCAAACACCTCATGAAAGATTAACCAAAAGAGCCATTTTATGTCAAATATAAGATTCATCATTCTTGACTAAACTTCTTTAGGCATAATTTATGTAAGAGAATTAGCTCATTTCGCAAATAAATTACGAAGATAAAATATATCAAAGGACTTAGTCTATCAGCAGGTACGCACATATATTCTTACAAGTTGGTACAAGCGACTCGTACTGCTTTTCCATTTTCTATTTTAGAAAAGCGGAAAGGATAATTTTACAATTTTCAGATTAATTTTCAAGGATATTCATATCAAAATGAGCATAAATTTAAATTGCAGTATTTTCAGAAAAAAGGAGGTTTTAAACCATTTACATGAAACTTTGTAGCCTGTGTTTAAGACCCCCGAACTTGACAACAACACGCAATCAAAATTCATCTTCTTTTCCTATGGCGATTGTTTCAGGAAAGGCCTACAAATGTGGCACCAATAGCAGCGACTCTCAAGAGGGCCTACATTTTTCTTTAGAAAGCGCTTTCCCCTGGTTGATTAATGACACCTATTTCCTCCTTTAGAGCGTGAGCTTTTTATCGAAGCAGATTTGTCTCTTAGCAAAGCAAGGGTACGGACATTGTAATCTAAACCATTTCCTTCAGAGTCGCTGCTATTGGTGCCCCAGGAAGCATTTTCAACAGGCAACAGACGGAAAAAGCAACACACAAAGGAGCTTATTAAAACAATTTTAAATTACATTAATTCAAAAATCTGAATGGCAACTTCAAAACATTAATGATCTTTCTTTATCAAAGACGGACATGTTTATGATTTACAACAGCAAGCAGGTCAACGTGCGTTACTATTGGCAACGAGGACACGTTGTTCAAAGAAAATATAGATAACTTCTTAATTATCTTACCAGTCCCTTTGTTTGTAGTTGAATGCAGATCGTTCCTAATCAAATATATTGCGATTTCTGGGCACTATAAAGCCTCTCTTGTTGTTGATAATAAGGACATTTTCAAACTAGAACAAAAGTTTAATCGGAGGGCTTTTGGGGAGCAATTACGAAATAGGACATATGAATTCCTGGGACGTCTGTTTCTGTTTATGGCATTCCGAAAAGCAGCCGGGCTTCTCTTATCGGACAGAAAACAAAGATTCTATTGTTTGTCGTCTTTCATCGATCACGTTTTGTATAGAGTCCCCCGTCTATATCAGCATATAATTTCTGTAAAATAAAAGGGGCATGTTGGGGGTGTGACACAAAAGTTTGGTTCTTTGTTAATGCAAAATGCACACTCGAAGATTCCAGGAACATTTCAAGAATGCGTTTCTCTCGTCAAGGAAATTTATTGTCCAATAGAATGTTCAAAAAATCTGTTAACTTATTTTTTATCAGAAAACCCTATACAAAAACAGTTCAAAATTATGGAAAAACGAGAACAGAAAATTTCTGTTGCTTAGGAAACTCATTTCCTTCTACATGTTTTTTTATAAGAAATTGTTTTATAAGAAAGTTATGCTTCGTTCTTCAAAAGCTAAGAAAGTTTATGACCGGATCTATGAAAGAAAGTTGAAAATATAGATATTCCGAAGTCGAAAATTTCCGCTGGCATTTGACGACGGTTTCGATGATTAAATCAAACCAGACGAGGTAAACGGTGTCGAAATTATTTGTTTATAGCTAAGATGGCATATTTTACACAGTT